AGTCTTAGACGTGATTTCTGTTTCTTTCGAGCATTTTTTTCCGTTGCAGCTTCTGATGCAGTCTCCTCTTTGCTTGCGTCTATGCTGTGTTCGCTGCTGTGGTGCCGGTGCCTCCTGCACTGAGGCCCAAGGACACAGCAGCATTCTTGCCACAGGGTGGTGCTGCTGTGCGAGTTAGCATCCGCACCACATGGCTCACGACATGGCTCGCCATAAGCAGTACGGTAAGTCGTCGGGCGGGTCTATTGGGGGGGATCAGAAGTGTCTAGGTTGCCGCGCGGCAAGTCTTAGAGTTGATTCTCGTTGCTTTTAAGTCTGCTTCCACTGCTGCTTCTGATGCTCGCTCCTCTCCTCTCTGCTCGTGTTTGCTGCTGTTGATCTGTTGCCTTATGCACTGACGCCCAAGGACACAGCAGCAGTCATGCCAAGGGGTGGTGCTTCTCACGAGTGCTCTGCGAGGCCCAAGGACGCAGCTGCGTTGGCTGCTGTGGTGCCGGTGTGAGCCTCCTGCACCGAGGCCCAAGGACACAGCAACAGGCATGCCAAGGGGTGGTGCTTCTCGAAGTGGTGCTGTGCAAGGGAGGATCCGCACCACATGGCTCGCCATGGCAGTATGGTACGTGGCTGGGCTGCGCTATTGAGAGAATAGGGATAACATTACCGCAACAAGGCTACGCTAGCTAGGTGACTACGCCACTGTGGGCAGCCATCGTGTGGGAGAGTAAACTTCTCACAAGACGAGAGAACAGGTTTGCTATGCTAGGCTAGGCTATTTGTGCTTGGCTGCCCAGTCGCGAGTAACTCAGCGTGCTGGGTTGAGCTCGAGCCGCCTAGGCCTTGGAGTGGCCCTCGCCAGATTGCCTGTCTCCCGAGGTTCCGGAAATTGTCCCCGAAGCGCCCTGTAACCCCCAATGCTACCAAATTCTCGCTACTCTCTTTTACCCAACTACCCCACATGCAGATTGAATAACACTCGCTACACCACTTCTACACCCAATTAGCATATGTCTCCAATATGATGCTCTTACCATTATATTTGGTGACTATGGGGAACCTGATGGGGAACATGATGGGGGAACCTGGTGGGGGAACCTGATGGGGGGTGTGCCTCTTGCACTGAGGCCCAAGAATATAGCAACAGTCATGCCAAGGGGTGGTGCTTCTCACAAAGAGGTGCAGTGCGAGTGAGTATCCTCAACACATGGCTGGGAGCATGGCTCACCTCTGGAGCACAGTAAGTTGTTGGGCGGGTCTATTGGGGGGACAGAAGAGTCTAGGTCGCCGCGCGGCAAGTCTTGGAATCGATTTTTGCTTCTTTCGAGTCCTTTTCCACTGGTGCTCCTGACGCACTCTCCTCTGCCTGTGCTCGTGTCTGTGCTGTTTGCTGCTGTGGTGCCGGTGTGTGCCACCTGCTCTGAGGCCCAAGGGGTGGTGCTTCTGATAGAGGTGACGTGGACCATATGGCTTTAATCGTGCCTCACCATGGAAGTAGGGTAAGTCGTTAAACTGGTCTGTTCGGGGGGCCAGAAGAGTCTAGGTCGCCGCGCGGCAAGTCTTAGATGTGAAGTTGATTTCTTCCCAGTCCGTTTTTGCTGCTGCTTCTGACGCACTCTCCCGTGTGCTTGCTCTTGTCGTGTGCTTGCTCTTGTCGTGTGCTTGCTCTTGTCGTGTGCTTGCTCTTGTCTTTGGTGCGCTGTCTTGAGTCCAACCTGATCGCCTGCTGGCTCGTAGGAGCTGGGGAAGGAGGCGGAGGGTGGGCGGAGGGCGGAGGGCGGAGGGAGGTTGGGGGAAGGGGCGGAGGGGGACAGCGCTGGCATGGGTGCTTAGCGACACTCAGAGGGGAGTATAGACACTCGCATGGGTGAGCGTATCCTAATCCTTGCTGCATGCACTCGGGCATGTGGATTCCCATGACCACACCCGCGCACATGCGTTCGTGCCTGCACACATGGATGCATTCATGCACACACTCACACACATGCATACCCCCTCAGGTGTCCCTCAGGTAACAGACCAGGTACCCTATCAGGTGCGACCTCAGGTAATTTCTCAGGTAAGACTTGGCCTTGAATTCTACCAATTCATTTGTTCCCTCTCTTTGTTCCTTTGGTCTCTGCATGTTTATTTCTTCGTGAGTTTACTCTGCTTGCACTAATGACCTGCGTTGCACCCCCTCCTTTTCTTCCTGTCTCTTTTGCCCCGGCTTCCCTCGTCCATCTCCCCCATCCATCAGAGTGCCGCACTGGCGTGTGGGGAGCGATGCAGTACAGCCGTCACCTGGCACAGGAAGAGCATCTGCTGGGGGTTCGTGCCCCCCAAGTAGTGAGCCCCATCCGCCCCCGCAAGATAATCTCAAGGTTTCAAGTCCAAGTGGTAAACACCATTCCCCTCCATCGCTTCTCTGGTTCTCTTCTGGCTTGACTCTCTCTGCTGCAGTCGTGACCCCCCCTACCCCTTCCTGCCCAATCCCCCCTTTGTCCGTTTCCTTGCTCAGCTTTCTTCGCGGCACCCTGCTTGCCTGCACCCTGCTTGCCTGCACCCTGCTTACTTGCACCCTGCTTTCCTGCAGCAGGACTGAAGCAGCGGTGGCAGCAGAAGCAACAACGGGCAGTGCAAGGGAGAGCATCTGGAGTTTCAGCTGCAGCAGGTGAGTTTGAGTTCCATCCCTTCCCCTTCGTTTTCCTTTGACACCCCCACCTCTTTCCACTTCCATTATCATTTTTATTGCCATCCTTCGCGTTTTTTGCCGTACCATATTTTCTTGTGAGTATGTGCCCTCTCGACGTACGTACCTTAGCTCCTCGTTTCTCCCCTTCTCCCCTTCTCCCCTCCATCGCGCAACAGGAGTGGTTGTTGCAACAGCATCAACACGTATGCAGTGCCACTGGTGGACAGGAGGGGAGGACAGGAGGATGCACGGAGGGAATGAAGGAAGAAGGGAAGGAGGAAAGCAGAGTCGCAGGAAAAGGTTGGGGGAAGCGAGAAAGGTTAGAAAAGAGGGTGAAAGGATAGCTTGGAGACGACAGGGAAAGTGCTCTTTTCCCTCGCTGCCATGTTTTGCCATGTCTTTTTCTTCTTGTTGCCCCTTGTTTCCAGATTACTCCCTCCTACCCCCAAGTGCAGTGCCCATCTCTGCAGCTCTCTGCCCCTTCCTGCTCCTCTCTGCTCTTCTGTGCTCTTCACTGCTCCTTTGATTAATGTTTCTGCTTCTTCTGACGTTCAGCTTCGTTTCTTGCTTACATCTTGTGCCCCTCGCTATCTCCCCGGCTAAGGAATCCCTTCCCCTGTGTAATCCGCCCCTGTGATATCCGTCCTCCTCACTACTGCCCCATCTTCCCTTCGTAGGTCATCTCGAGGCAACAGCATCAGCAATAACAGCAGTAGCAGTAGTAGCGAGGGATACATAGCTAGTGCAAGGCCGTGTACCGTATTCTCCCGGATAAAACACCCTAGGGTATTATGAAAACCACTGGAAAAAAATGGGGGGGGTCTCCTCAAAGGAAAATCCTATATAATACCCGGGTCTTATGATATGGTATTTTTTATAAAACATAAAAGATGTGAAACAAAATCAGGGGTCTGACTTCTCCAAGATTGTTGATTTTCTTCTAGGGAGTGATTTTCGCGATATCCTCCCGTAAGGAATCGGACTCGATAACAGCTATAATAGGAATTTATAAGAAAAGGGGGGTGTTCTAGAGAATCACCCCAAAAAGGGGGGTATAGTACTAACGGGGTCGGATATAACACCCACCCCGTATAAGCTACCCGGGGGTGTACAATTACGGGGGGGGGGGGGGGGTGTTTTATCCGGGAGAATACGGTAACACATGGAAAGGGATGCTGCGGTATGGTAAGGTAATGTAAGGTAATGCAAGGTATGATAAAGGTATGGTGAGGTATGGTAAGGTACCCAACCACACGAGGCAAAAGGATCATCCAACAAAGAGACATACGCGGCACACAACCAACGTGAGAGAGAGACCTACCAGGCACAGCCAGAATAGGGCTGTGTGACTGTGTCCCAACAGAAGCAGGAATCTTTATCAAGGTTCGTATGCATGTCCAATTTAGGAAACTTCTTCAACCAGCCAGAGAGACAAAGCCCTCCCAACCACAATGACAGGTGAGCGCGCAGACCCAACCCTACATCCGCCCTGCTATGTCCAAACCAGTGGCAGTGAACAGCAAGATGTCTCCTGGACAGCAAAATACAGCAAATAAGCCTGAATAGAAACATATACAGTCCATTATAGTTATGAATGTGTGCATACTGTACGTATAGCGAGGGAGCCTGCATAAACATTTTCCATGTAAATGAGGAGCGTCACGGATACCGCAGATACCGCAGCCTCGTCACATCTGTTCTGTTGGGAGCTCGATTTCCATTATTCTCTCTCTGGAGCTCCTGCTCCTCCCCCAAGATCTAGCCTTGTCAGGTCTGTGAGCGCACGGTGCGATGTCCTACAGCGTTGCTGAATGCTGCTATTCTATTCTTGTACACACTGTTGAAGATACGACGTGCTGCAGATTCCGTCTACGTGCGTTGTGGCCGCCTGCACTTGAGTACAATGTAATTTCTGTCACCGCTGAAAGTACAATGTACGACATACTTTGAGTCCGGCGAAGCGCATCTCGAAGCAGCAGACATGTCACGGTGGCATAGTTGCATTAGAGGAAGCCCGTGCAACTGGCGAACCCTCGTTAGTACGCCACCTTGTCTCCCGCTCGTTAGTAGACAAACACGTGACTTACTCAACACGCCCGAATGTTTCCCTCTCGTTGGTAGGCAAGTAGGCCTCGCCCTAACACGCGTAATCCGCTGGATCTCGGCAGATGTTAACCACAGTGCGCGCGCGGTCCGCAGGAGAGGATTATGCAATCCGACATCTGATGACAGAAAGAGAGTCGTACGATTCAGCGATCGCGACAAGAGCCACGGGAGTACACGGCAAGAGCGCGAGTCCTGGGAATGGCAGCAGCAGCAGCGCCGGTGGCAGATGCAGGCGGGAGTCGAATCGACGGCGGAAGATGAGGAGAACTTGGAGCTTGGAATCGCGACCGTTATTCCTCGCGGGCTCCCGTCGCGCGGGCGTGGAGCGCAGTCGGGTCGACGGCGAGCAGTGCGGTTCGATCCCGCATCAGGCGGACTGGAGATGAATGGTGGGGAGGCATCCGGAGGTGATAACAGCGAAGGTGACAGAAGGGAAGGGCTTTCAGACGACGACACTGGCGCGGGAAGAGAAGGTGGATGGAAACAGAAAGAACGGAGAAGTTCGCCTCCTCGTTCCGCTGTACATTCCGCCAGCGCACAGGGGCGGAACGAAAAAGGGGAGGGGAGCAGAAGAGAGAAGGGCGGAGGGGGATTGGGGATGATTGGACAGAGAGGGGGGGAAGGGGCAGAGAGAGGAGGAGGGCTGTGGCAGCAGGAGGGTGCAGCAGCACAGCGCGCGATTCTAAGGCCTCGGAAGCCATCCGAGGACGAAGCAGGCGACTCAAGCATCACTTTTCAGGAAGGTGCAGAGCAGGAGAGCGACGAGGAGGAGGAGAAGGAGGTGTTCAAGATGGCACGGGTGGAGGCGGTGCGACTGCTCAGCTTCAAGTGAGAGACATCCCATTGCCCCTGCATGCACTACCTTTTCCACGCCATTTCGACCTTCCTTCATACACCAACGTGGCCTGGCGTGTATCTTTTAGCGCAAAACCATATGCAACATTTGTCCATCCCATCCCATACTCCCCAAGCTGGTTTGACTCTGCTTCTGTTGACTTATGCTTGTGCCTTTGTCTGGGCGCCTCTATGTGTGCGGCTCTGTGCGGCTCTGTCCTGCTGGGGCAGGCAGTGGTCGGAGGTGCAGCTACGGCAGAAACTGACAGCCAACTTGACCCAGCCAGAGCGGGCCCGGGGATTGGCCAGGAGAGCAGGAACAAGGCAGCCACGTGGCAGCATGGCACTGGAGGAGGCTGATGCTGCGGTTAGTTCTGCCATAAACTACATGAAGAAGCTGTGAGTCTCAACAATGCTATGCCACAAACTACATGAATTCTTGTCATTGAAAGTTTCTGTGCCAGACTATTTGTGCTGTGGATGGTGTGCGTGATGGTGTGTGTCGTGTTCTCTCCATTCCTTTAATGTCTGTCCAACTGCGCTAGACTCCCCATTTTGCTCTGCCCGTGCCTGTCATCACCCTCAGCGGCTTCGTGAATGACAAGGAGTACGCGGAGGCTTTCGCCCGAGGGAGATTCAAGCAGCTGGCATGGGGTCCAGCTCGCCTCAGAATGGTGAGCTTCCCTCTGTGTATCGTTGCTGGCTGGTCTGGCATTGTGTGTAGTGGTGCACGCTGCACGGTCCTTACATGTGCTTGTAATGGACAATGATTGTCAACTGCTTTTGTCTGGCTGCTCATTACAGGCACCCTCTTGTTTGACTGTTGGCTTGCTCTCATATTGACATTACAGGAGCTTAAAAAGAGAGGGGTCAGCGCCGGTGATGTTAATGCAGCTGTGGATTCCGTCTACACTCTAAGCAGTTCAAGTAAGGACAGTATTGATAGCCGTGGTGATGTTGGTGATGATTATGAAGATGCAAGTCAAGCTGGACTCAGCAAAGAGGCGTGGCTTACATTGACTGCTAAAGCCTCAAAAGTGTGGGACAGAGGTGAAAATGTCCCATTGGAGAAGCGGAAGCAACGCTTAGTGGGTTGGTTGCAACGGCGGGGCTATAGCTGGCAGCAGACCCGGAAGGTTGTAAACTGTATGCAAAAGAAATAATGAGGTCATTTGTGCTCTCATATAGAGTATTGTGGTCGACAGATGTTGAGTGCTTGTAATGAGACCACGCCCGCGTGGCGACCGTCATCCCACGAGCTTGGACGACACGTGGACTTCAAGATTGGTAGCCCGTCAGCGTGGGAGGCCAGACGACAAAACCCAACCTGCGGTGCTGTCACAAGGGGAACCCTAGGGGTTGTCGAGCCAGCACGAAACGCGTGGCGGATTCCCTCGAGGTTTGCGTGAGCCACCAGCATTTCCTTGACAGTGCGATGCAGTCGCACAACACACATCCAACGGCTGTTACAGTTTCATTGAGATCGACTGACCCACATCACAGTTTCCCTCCCAAACCAAACCTGTTCCCTCCTTCCGAACCACAAACCTCACGCTTCGATCACTCCCATCTGAACCTTGGCTTCCCGTGAATCCTGAGTCACTCCGTGCATCCTCTGAATCCCTGAATTCCTTCTCAACAAAATTCAGCAATAAACATCCTGAGCTTCTGTGTTCCGTTCAGATTCAGGCTTCAATTTTCTGAAGTCGAGGCTATTCCCATTTTACTCCTCTCCGATCTCTTCAGCCCTCGCTGAAGCTTTTTTTCTCGTGCTTCTAGATCAGAAGCTTTGCCACTATGGCCACCGCCGATCTTACCGTGGAGAAGACGGCCTCCGGCCGCGAGTACAAGGTCAGGGACATGTCCCTGGCCGATTTCGGCCGCATGGAGCTCGATCTCGCCGAGGTCGAGATGCCTGGCCTCGTCGCCTGCCGCGATGAGTTTGGCCCTGCCCAGCCATTCAAGGGAGCCAAGATCAGTGGATCCCTTCACATGACTGTTCAGGTGTGTTCAAATTCTCGATTTTGGTCGTCTTTGAACGTTTTGAACTGGTTTGTTTCTATTCTTCTTCGTGCATTAACGGGTGCGGTCTCATTGAAAGTAATGAACATTGGAATCTGACTCCGCTCTTTCGGGTTTTCTTTTTCCTCTGCAGACTGCTGTCCTCATTGAGACCCTCACGGCGCTCGGCGCGGAGGTGAGATGGTGCTCGTGCAACATCTTCTCCACCCAGGACCACGCCGCTGCCGTCATTGCCCGTGACTCAGCTGCCGTGTTCGCCTGGAAGGGCGAGACCCTGCTGGAGTACTGGTGGTGCACTGAGCGCTGCCTCGACTGGGGCGTCGGCAGCGGCCCCGATCTGATTGTTGACGACGGTGGCGACGCCACTCTCCTGATCCACGAGGTAAACTTGCCTGAACATGAGGTTTATGTCAGTAAACGAATTTTACCAGTTTGACAACAGAAACACGTAGTCTATCTCGCGAATGGCATTTCCTGACACTCGTATCTTGTCGTTTCCCTGGCAGGGTGTGAAGGCCGAGATCGAGTTCGAGAAGTCTGGCGCTGTCCCCGACCCCGAGTCGACGACGAACCCCGAGTTCCAGATCGTGCTGACCATCATCCGCGACTCGCTCAAGGAGTCGCCGACCAAGTACCGCGATATGGCGAAGCACATCATGGGTGTGTCGGAGGAGACCACCACCGGCGTCAAGAGGCTGTACCAGATGCAGATCAACGGCTCGCTGCTCTTCCCCGCCATCAACGTCAACGACTCCGTCACCAAGAGCAAGGTATGCTACGACCGTGATTTGGGTGTTTGGGGTTCGGACCGGGAATCCGATTCTGTCTGAAATGATGAAGCTTGAACTTCAAACAGTACTCGAAACAAAACCGAGAATCCCTTGTAAACCAGCTTCTTGGATCTGCTGACTGATGCAACTATTCTGTTCTATCTGGTCCTCGTTTCCTGCAGTTTGACAACCTCTACGGTTGCCGTCACTCCCTGCCCGACGGTCTCATGAGGGCCACTGACGTCATGATCGCCGGCAAGACCGCTCTCGTGTGCGGATACGGTGACGTCGGCAAGGGCTGCGCCGCTGCTCTCAAGGCCGCTGGTGCCCGCGTTACAGTCACGGAGGTCGACCCTATCTGCGCTCTCCAGGCGGCTATGGAGGGTTTTGCCGTGAACACTCTGGAGAATGTGGTTGCCGACACTGACATCTTCGTTACCACCACTGGTAACAAGGACATTATCATGGTCGCTGACATGGTGAAGATGAAGAACAACGCCATTGTGTGCAACATCGGTCACTTTGACAACGAGATTGACATGGCCGGCCTGGAGAGCTACCCTGGCGCCAAGAAGGTGACTGTGAAGCCCCAGACGGACCGCTGGGTGTTCCCTGAGACCAACCGCGGCATCATCATTCTGGCTGAGGGTCGCCTGATGAACCTGGGATGCGCCACTGGCCACCCCAGCTTCGTGATGTCGTGCTCGTTCACGAACCAGGTGATTGCTCAGATTGAGTTGTGGAAGGAGAAGGACTCGGGCAAGTACAAGAAGGAGGTGTACGTGCTGCCCAAGCACCTGGATGAGAAGGTCGCTGCCCTGCACTTGCCCAAGCTCGGGGCTGTGCTCACCAAGCTGAGCCCTGCCCAGGCCGAGTACATCAATGTGCCTGTGGAGGGCCCTTACAAGCCTGCCCACTACAGGTACTAGAGGGCAGCTAGATGAATTGCTTATACATGCTATATGTGATAATGAAAAAGCATATTGCTCTCGCTTCTCAGTCACTGAGACACACCCAACACTTCACATGGCTGGAAGAAGCAACTTATCTCTGCATTTGGTGGATCTGCACTCAGCTTTTTCCGTATGCTGATGTTGCTGAATGCTTGCCTTTATTTGTACTGATTGTTACGAGTGCAATTGAGGGAACGAACGAGAAGTGCACTATCGAAGCAAAAGTTTAATGAGCGAAGGCATGAGCGAAGAATATATAGCGAAACTACAGTGGTAACGGTAATGGTCTGCGGTAGTCGCGCGACGAGCCTGGGTCTGAGATTTGGGAAAGTGTCGAAGCGTAGGCCCAGAGCGCGGGTTACCAGCCGAGCCGTGAGGTCGGGATGCGATGTGCGAAAATGGCGGGATGATTATCGGTGCGATGATCGCGAGTGGTAACGGTGCTGACTGAGGTGCTACAGTGATGTACGCGTTGAGCAGGGATGCGAAGTAAGGAAAAGGGAATTTCCTTACACTACCCCTCCCCCTCCTAAGGAGGTCCTCCTTACGAAAGCGCGAGGACGTCTTTGAAGTTTCGGCTGCGCAGGTAGTCGGTGACGACAGGGTGGTTTTCAACTTTGTCCAGGGGAACCCAGTTGTCCTCGGTGAGTGTACGATCTTTCCAGCGGATCAGAAACTCAACTTTTCGGGCTCCTCGAGGGTCGCGAACTCTGTGGCTCAAGATTTTTTCGGGGGTGATGACTGGTTCGGTTGGTGGTCGTGTCATGCTGGATGGCCGATGTCGTGGGAGTTGGCTGGTGGATGGGACGTAAGGGCGAAGTAGACTGACGTGGAACGAGGGGCTGACGTACCAGTCAGCAGGGAGGAGGAGGTGCGCAGTGACGGGTGTGATCATGTGGCTAATTCGAAACGGCCCACAGTATCGAGGGCGGAGTTTAGGAGTGATGGGCAGGCGGAGATTTTGAGTGTCGAGTAACACGAGGTCGTCGGGCTGATAAGTGATGGGTCTGCGGTGGCGATCGGCGTTGCGTTTAGCGATGATATTTGATTTTTTAATTGCTTCTGCTGCCCTGGTTCGTGCTGCTTGCAGAATCTCGGCGAACTGTTTTGCGCGTGGAACGGGATTGTCGGGATTCGGTGTCATGGGTACTGTTGGGTCCTGTCCGTAGTTCAAGTAAAATGGTGACTGTTGGGTCGTGGCGGATGGCGCGTTGTTGTACGCAACCTCGATGAGAGGCAGTTGCTGTTCCCACGTGTTTGGATCGTCGCACGTGGCTCGAATCAGTTGCTCCATGGTTTGGTTTGTCCGTTCTGTCTGTCCGTCGATTTCGGGGTGGTTGGATGAACTGAATTGAAGTCGCGTGCCGAACTGCTGCCACAGGTTCCGCCAGAAATTACTGGTAAACTTCGTGTCCCTGTCGCTGATGATCGACGCTGGTATCCCGTGCAATCGAACGACGGTGGTGATGAAGAGTCGGGCTGTTTCCTCGGCTGTGATTGATTTCCTGCATGCTGCGAAATGCGCCATTTTCGTTAGTCGATCGACGACGACCAGGATCACGTCATTCCCACTCGCCCCAGCCGGTAAACCCGTGACGAAGTCCATCGTCACCTGCTGCCAAGCACGCTCTGGGGGTGGGATTGGTTGCAATTGTCCCGCCGGCCGCTTCCTGCTTGACTTCATGAGCTGGCAAGTGGGACACGATGCCACGTGTCGTTGCACGTCGGTCAACATTTCCGGCCTGTAGTAGTACCGCTGCAGCTGCTGCCGTGTTTTTTCTACTCCGAAATGTCCCGAGGTAACTCCGTCGTGTGCTTCCTGTAACAGTAGTTCCCGTAGTAGCGTGTATCCTGGTACCCAGATGCGGTCGGTTCCAGCTTTTACGTAATAGACTCCCTTGGCTGCTGCGAATTGCTGTGAATTTCCTCCTGTGAAGAACGGGTCTGTTTGATATCCGTGGGTAAATAGTCCTGTCAGTAATGGGCTGGTCTGGGTGAGTAGTATCGCGTGGATTTGGGCAGTGGGGCGGGTCAGTGCGTCAGCGATATTCGAGGCTCCTTTTTTATATGTGACCGTATAGTGGAAATTCGACTCGAGGAAGTCGAGCCACCGAATCTGTTGTGGGTTGAGGTGGGGGTGTGCGCGAAGGTACTGTAGGGATCGATGGTCTGTCCGTACTGTCACGTCTACGCCGGTCAAGTAGCAGCGCCACACTTTGAATGCATGCACGATCGCAAGCATTTCGCGATCGTGTATCGGGTAATTTCGCTCAGGTGGATGGAGCTTGCGTGATTCGTAAGCGATGGGTTGGAGGCCGTTGCCGGTACAGCTCCGATGGCGATGTCGCTTGCGTCGGTAACAACTTCGAAGGGGCGGTGTGGGTCAGCGATGCGTAGGACGGGTGGTGAACAGAGAACATTTTTTAGGGTAGAGAAGGCAGCATGCTCTTTCTCCCCCCACGTAAAAGGGACCCCCTTACGTAGTAAATCAGTGAGCGGGGCTGTTAAGCGTGCCATGTCGGGGACGAACCGACGAACGTAATTAACAAACCCTAAAAAACTCTGCAGTTCCGTGATGTTCGTCGGGAGACGCCACGCTTTTACCGTATCTAGCTTCGTAGGGTCAATCTCAACCCCAGCCTCTGAAATGACGTGACCTAAAAACTCTAGTCTGTCCCGAAAAAACTCGCACTTGGAGCCCTTGGTTAATAACCGATGTGTCTCTAAAATTTTAAAAACTGCTTCGAGATCGACTAAGTGCTGCTGCTGGTCCCGACTGTAAACGAGGATGTCGCCGAGGTAAACTATGACGCAGTTATCTAAAAGTGGCCTAAACGCCTCGTTCATGGTCATCTGAAATGTTGCAGGCGCGTTGGTCAGCCCGAAAGGCATCACTGTGTACTCGAATGACCCGTACCTAGTCCGAAATGCTGTCTTGGCGCAGTCCGATGGTTCGACCCGAATCAGGTGGTAACCCCCGCCCGATTTTCGAAAATACCCGTGCTGTTCGCAGCTGGTCGATCAGTTCGTCGGCGCGGGGGATGGGGTACCGCGATTTGACTGTTACCCTGTTAAGCGCTCGGTAGTCGATGCACATGCGAAATCCTCCGTCTTTTTTTGGTGTGAACAGTATCGGTGCGGCGAACGGTGACGAGCTCGGTCGAATAAACTGCTTCTCTAACAGGTAATCTATCTGCTTCCTTAGCTCGTCGAGCTCTGGCTGTGTCAGTCGGAACTGGCGCTGTACAGTTGGTTGTGCCCCCGGTTCTAACTCGATCCTATGGTCATGCGCCCGCTGAGGTGGCAGCCCTTGCGGTAAATCATCCGGAAAAATACCCGGGAACCGTTTCAGTAGTGCCTGCAGTTCGGGTGGTACAGCTGACAAAAGTTAGAAGAAAGAAAGAGAGGATTGAACTAGCAGGAATGAGGATACAAATAGCAAAACCCTAGAAGGGTTGTACTCGCTATAGAGCACCCCACTACAGGCTAGAACATAAGATAATATTCTGACACACCCCCATAGCCAAAGTGGGGTGTAATCAGCAGAGCAAGCAAAGCAATACAAGCTCAGGGTGGATCACAATGTCACCACACATTCTGAGCACAAGTTCAAGAAGAAATAGTTTAGAGTTAACAATTATAAGCAAAGCTAGTGGTAGTCACAACGGGCAAGTGAGGAGGAGGAGAGAGAGTGAGGGGAGAGGAGATAGGAGGCGACGTCTGAAGCTGCAGACACACGGGCAGCAGGAGGCAGACTGGCACAGCGGCTACCGGACAGCGCCCGGACTACAGGAGTAACAGGCCCCGCGGCTCAAATAGCGGCGGACGGGCAACGGACCCACAGGCGGCTAGCGTAGAAGTCTAGCTCACTGGGCTACCGGGAAAGCGCCCCGGACTACAGGTGCTGCTGACGACAAACTGGCAACCTCCGCTCATCCTCCCGCACACAGTCCCACCCCCCTGATACACACCCACTGCTACACCGCTAGCTCTACTCCCACACACCCCCCTTAAACCCTAAACCCAGTCTCCCACACATCCACCCCCCTCAGCGACAGCTGCAGCAGTGGGAGACGAAGGAGGAGGAGGAGCAAAGGGAGGAAGGAAGACCGGCCACCCCAATACCCGCCACCCCACAGCTCGCAAGCGGCCCCCTCAGGTCGCCTCGACGGACGACGGGAAATGGCAGGGGGAGGGGGGGGGGGGGGGGGGGGGGGGGGGGGGGGGAGGCGGGGTGGTGAAAGGGACCCACCACGGGCCTGGTTGGAGGGCGGGGCCGCGAAAAGGGGCGGGGCCGCGACGAGGGGCAGGGCCGCGACGTAGGGCGGGGCCGCGACTGTAGGGCGGGGCCGCGACGGTCGGGGCGGGGCCGCGACGTAGGGCAGGGCCGCTTCGAGGGGCGGGGCCGCGACGCAGGGCGGGGCCGCGACGGTAGGGCAGACGCCCGCCGCGCGCCTCGGGGCGTACAGCGGGCAGAAAACCGCCGCGCGCCTCGGGGCGCACGGCGGGAACGAAAACCGCCGCGCGCCTCGGGGCGCACGGCGGGAAGGAAAGGTAGCAGCGGAAGCGAGGTGGAAACCCACCCACAGGATCGATCCAAGGGGATCGACCTGCTCTGATAGCATGACAAAAGTTAGAAGAAAGAAAGAGAGGATTGAACTAGCAGGAATGATGATACAAATAGCAAAACCCTAGAAGGGTTGTACTCGCTATAGAGCACCCCACTACAGGCTAGAACATAAGATAATATTCTGACAACAGCTGCCAACAATTTCTGAAAATCGCTCGGCTGCTCCTCTTTTTCTACTAATGCTATATCTACTGCGTACACGTCAGCTCCAGCAGCGACAGCCCGTTTCATCGTGATGGCGTTGACCTGGACCGTCGAAGACTCGGGTGGCTGCCAGCGAGGTAGGACGACCCAGTTACCACTACTTCGCACTGTGCAGCTACCCGTCGTCCAGTCAATTCGTGGG